CTGCTTTCAAATAAAATTAATTAATTAAAAGTATTTCCACATATCTTTGGCTTAAAATATTTTTTTATAATTTTATCAATAAGTAGAATATGAGAGAAATACCAACAGTTTTATGATTTTGTTAATACTTTTAAGTCATAGCTGGACTTTATATTCAGTTATTTAATCCGTTCTGTATACAGTAGACATCTTTTGGTATATAGTTATTTTTATTTCACGTCCCAAGAGGTTTAGCTAAAACAATTTATTTGAATAAAGTACTAAATTATGCATAAATTGGCACTTATGGCTTTTAGGCGAGAGGTTAACATTATCGCTTTACTTACATTACCAACTTTGGATTCCAGTTTTGCACGATCATGTAAGGTTAAAATTGTAATCCATTCTAGATGAGATTGTCCTTTTTAAGGCATGGCTAAGACAGACTTACTACCCTTGGAATAATTGGAAATTTTTTTAATTATTTCTTACATCGCCTTAAAGACATATTGTGATTCCAATTTTTATTTGAGATCTACTGATGTCTTTCGTTCATACAAATTTGCAGCTTTTGTGCACAATGATAAAACCTTTATAAACTTAATTCAGTCTTACTAATGGTTGAAAATACAAAAACGGTAAATCTTTTCAGATATTATTTATGGCCTTCGCATTCAAAATTAATGGAAAGCGTTTTTAGTCATCATTTTCTTTTATGGTACATTATAAGAATAATAAGATTTTTCAGCTAAATTAATTTACGTCAAGTCTTAAGCAATTATTTTATTATATGCGGAGAATTGAAAATATAAATTTGTATGACTCATGCTTTTAGGCACCCTAATTTCTTAGAATCTTTATAAAATATCTTGATATCTTTAGTGCAACATGAGAAAGTTAATATTTAACCATAATCACCACTTATTCTAGGACAAAATTCAAAGATTTATGTAGTATGATCTTTGTTTCTGGAATTAATGTCTGCTACTATAGCTCTTCTTTCTTAGAAAAATCTGGAAGTGCATTATCTATTCATTCTTCTATCCCAGCTCTATTCTAATTTTTTGACACTATCCC